AGAACTCGAAAGCCACTACCAGTTGCAGGCCTGAACTTGATGGCAAGTTCCTGTGAGAGGGCTAGAGTTACCCAACATCCAGGTTCTCCACAGTTTGTCTTGGTACAGCCTTAAGTTCACTTGTGAGACTTACTCACTTTTGTGACCCAAGAGTTCACAAGACAGGTCTTCTTGATCTGGTAATTCATAAGGATGAATCACTTACTGACACCTGTAAAGCCTTCAGTCCTACTGACAGCACTCATGACCCCTAGAACGGTGTAGTGGTGTAGAGTACCAGACACTGAATCAAGAGTACCACCCACTAGTAAGGTGTGCCATCATGAAAGCAAGTTTAAGGAGCTATCCTTGGCAAATATTAACCTGCCACTTTAACAGCCTCATAAAGCTTAGTAGGCACTAACAATGCTGCAACTCAATCGAGCAAGAGAATACAGAGCTTTACAGAAATGAGGTGTTTGTTTCTTAAACAGTCATTGTAACAAACAGAATAAAACGTTTAAATGGGCTACAGTTAATCATCTATAAAAAGTGTATGTTCAGCATGAATTTAAATTGTAAACTGGTAATAAATAATACAGTATCTCCGAGCATATCTTAAAATATACATTATGAAATAAAATTTAATTTTCAGAAAAGCTTTCAACCTTTTTGTTCAAAAATATATTTAACCAATCCTTTATAAACAACTGCAGCCAGTTTGCCTGCTGGAAAATTTTGATTTAGAAAGCCCTCCTGGCTACTGCAGAACATTTATTTGTATTATTAACTTCCTTTTTTTTTCCCTAAGGCAGATTAGCAAGAGCTGAATTCACAAAAACTGTTGATGTAGCAACTACCTTAAATTATAATTTATTGTAATGGTTGTAATTTATTTTCATTCTTGTTTATTTAGTAATCATATAAATATCCAAATATCCACTAAAATAAGCTACTGTGCAGACTGCAAGTACCACAGCCAGAGCAGTAACTAGACCTAGATTTAAAATGCACGTATTTCTTTCTGGATAAGAAAAGGTAGGTTCTCTCTGGTCACAGAAAAGCTCTTCATGCACCACCCTGTTAACTAATCATTGTAATCTGTCTGTTAACAAGAACCTGGCTAAATGTTACGTTCACTGGGAATTAGAAGCAGCACACCGCACCATTTCTCCAAGGCTGTTAATTTTGAACTATACTAGTGGTGGAACCATTTAGTGGTGGACTTGGCAGTGCTAAGTTAAAGGTTGGACTTGATGATCTTAAAGGTCCTTTCCACCCTGAACGATTCTATGATTCTATTGAGAGCAGTGTGGCACAGCTATCTTGGCATACCAGTATTTCAAGAAATGTAGGCTTATAGACAGAACTAAGATAGCTGAGTGGAGCAGAAAAGCCCTTTCTGTAACATGCCCTTTGTGCACAGAGATCCTCCCAGCTGATCTCATAAGCTCCCTATGCAGAAGGTATGAGAGCATGTCGAGTTTCCTCTCTTCTCACATCTTGCGTAGTGAGAGGTGAGAGAAACGACGTCTATCAACTACCACTCACAATGGCCTCAGTGACCCCCTTGGCAGCTAATGTGGAAGATGCAATTTCTCTCCATCATATTCCTTTGTACTGCTCATGCCCTGAGCCCAGGATCTGGCCTCTAGACATTCTGGAAGAGCTGTGGAACAAGGGGATTCACCCAGTCTATCCCAGAACAGCCTTTCCCACTGCGAACAGTGTGTGAATGTTGGGGGGAACCTCAAGAAATCCAACTGCTTTCAGCTGGAGTTTATAAAAGGGATGGTGTGTTTCTGTTATACTAATAGTAGGAAACATCACCTGATGGATACAAATCTCCTTCCAAATGCCTACTCATATGTATAGTCATTCAAAAAGCTTCACAAGGTCATGCTCTATATTAATCCATTCCAGAAAGCCTATATAGGACCAGTAAGAAAACACCTTTAGACGAACAATTTGTTAAAGACTACATCAAAACATTAAAGACACTGATGTTTGAATACATTCCTAATCTTTCATAAACAGGAAGATTCTAATGATTTAGAAAGTTAGGAATATCGCAGAGAAGAATACAAAAAAGACAGGTCTCAAAAAGAAGTTGGAAAGAGAGCACCATATGAAACTCATACTTAAGTTTTTATGTCCATTTAACAAGCTAACTAAATGTTTCACAGTGTTAACTGAACTTTAAGTAAGCTACCTAGGATAAAATCCTGACCCGTCTGAAGTCAATGGTAAGAGGATTTTATCTGCAATTCTCACTATCTTTGAGAAGATATTAAAACAAAGATACACATTGAGGCTTCAGTGGAAGGCTTCAATCAAAAAAGAAGAGGAAGAAAAGAACATGTTTCTTGTTTATTTTATAGTACATGCCATGTAAACTAATATACATGGCAATCTCTCTGGTCTATGAAACATTGAATGCAACACTAAGTAATTTTTAGATTTTTATTCATTTATCATTTAGCAAGACTCTTCTGCAGCTTTAAATCACATTTAAAGTTGTATCGTTACCTTGTACACTGTTGCTTTATTGCAAACCCAAGATTTTAGCAAACAGTGCCGTATTTTTTTCATGTCGCATGTACAAAAGGATATAAAAACAGCTCCTTGACTGACATATGATAATATCCTTAAGCCAAAATTAAAAAAAAAAAATACAGTATTACAGCACAAGTATTCCTTTTATTACAGGAATAGTATCTGTGGGATGCACTCATCCGATCAAAGATTTCAATATCACATCCTTAAAGTATCCAACACATTTTCAATGAATTGATAGCTACGGTCTTCAGTGAGCTGCCCTGACAGTATAAAATGGACATGGAACTTAATCTAATCTTAGTTACTCATATTTCATCACACTATTCTGCTTGCTAACTGAGAAATATGTCTAAAAACTGCCATGATGTTCCTCATGGATCAAAAGGCAAGTCAAGTTTATAAAACAGTACTCTAAGAACTTTGGACAAATACAGCTGCTAGTCTGAACATGTGTAACACAACTATTTTGTGATTCAGTGTTGTAAATGTAGTTTATGTTTTAAACTTTTAGTAATTTTAGCTGCATATAAACCAGAGTAAGTTAAATTATAGCACCTTGCGTGAAATTTGTTCTAAAAAATACAAAGATTACACCTTTTAAAATTGTAAGGAATACAACTATTCTATCTCCAGTCCAGTATGCACCTGTCATTTAAAAGGAAACTAATTTACATATAATGAAGACATGCATAAATATCACAAATTTAAGGCACAAAATGGAATTTGAAAGTTAGGGATGTAGTAAATCCTTGCTTTTTCATCAAATTACCTGATACAGAAAAGATACACCAGAAAAAGGTGTATCTACAATTTTCAAAAAAACTGTATTATCATAAAATCATTGAAGCTAAAAATGGAAACTGCCTATTCAAGTCTGTAGTTCAAACTCTTGCCCGAGGAAGATTATTTTCCAATATTGTGTTACATCTAACTTAAAACCTTCCAAGAAATTGTATGCATTGGTAAGCACTACTGTGTCATTCCATAACATAACTGATCTCATTGGTCAGATCCTTCTCCTGATATTCATTGGATATTTACCTTGTTTCAATTTTATATAATCAGTTCTAGTCACACCTTCATGATAATAAAGCCTCTTCCTTTACATGTATTTGTCACATAAGAAAAAATTATACATACTTAACGACTCAATCTTTCCAACTTCTTTCTCATTTCAACTGATTTTGTTACTGTTCTCTGTCTTTTCAGGAGCTTGACTCAATTCCTCACCCCTGAGGTACCCAAAATATAAGACCTTACTCCACAAACTACCTCAGCAATTACAAAGAGTATTCTGATTTCCAGCTGCCTGATGCAGCTCTTCTGCATATATACTCTTCTTTTGACATTAGTGATGCCAGAATCAACTTTGTTGCCTACATTATCAAGGCTTCTTACTACATTATTACATTTCAATCTTCTCTGTCTCTCACTAAGTATCCAAGTTTCCTCAAATGCATTACCTTTTCTCTGAATCTCTTAGGCTGCATCTAATTCTTTTCTACATTTAATCCATCTGTTGGACCTCTCCCACTCAAGTATCATATAGTGTAATATTGTCTGTAACAGCTATTAATATACTGTAGATCCCTCTTGCAGATAATTGAAGACATTAAATAGAATTAGGTCAATGCAGTATAAACAATTAATGGGGAGGGAGCAATTAAAATTGCACAATGGGATGATTCAAAGCACAGTTTATATTTTAAGACACTATTTCAAATATATTTTATCCCACTTTGCGATTTATAGGAAGTTAAATATCTCACTATAGGTACAGTTTCTAAATGCAATACCATAATTTTTCAGCATACATAATTAAATGTAGAATAAGAAACATGCCGACAATCAGTCTTCCTCCGCAAACAAGTCCCATTCCAGCCACTGACCAGAGAAAGGTAGACACATCAATTCTACTCCTCAGCACAAACTTTTAACCAGTTAATATTGTATCTATTATTCTACATATCTTTAAAATTACAAATGAAAATACAGACACATCTAAATTTGCACTGACAATCAAGAATTCAGCTCCTTTCAGAAGTCCTTCTGGAATTCTACAGTGTGATCCTGTAATTCAAAGAATGTTGAACAACATGCTGACAGTACTTATAACTGGAAAGATATTATTTAATATAAAGCTTAAATAACATTTAAGCCACCTAGTCTATGAAAAATATCATTACCTAATTTATGCTCTGTTTTCCAGAAGACTCACTTTCAGTACAACTTATCAACTCTACTTCTTTTCTTGATGATGACTACAGCTCAAACCAGACTTTTCAGAATAGAAAGCACAGTAACCAACTATTCCAATTCCTAAAGCTATTTGTGAACCTATTGAAAAAAAGAAAATAATTTGTTTGAAGAACTGAACAATTAAAAATCAAAGTGAAACCAAGGATGAAAAGGTAAGTCTGAAGGTATATTAATTGTAAAAATAATACAGTCCATGTTATTTTATGCACAGTTGTTTATTCTTGTTCCATGTTTTGAAACTTGGACTCAGAAAAATCACAGGAAGTTTTGGTTTTTTTACTCTCTTTTTTTCCATTAAAGCACCATAGTTACACAGCTTGATTCAATCGTCCTTTTCCACAATCACTTCTCCATGAAGCACCCTTCTTCTCTGCCGCAGCATGTGGAAGTAGAGTTGTGGAAATACTTGATCAAAGCATAAAAGAAAGCAAATTAGAGGAAAAAACGCAACAGATCACATTACGGAAAAATACAATTTTGCAGAATGATGAACTGAGGAAAAACTATGGCACACAGTGCTGTGTTGGTTAAGGTAAATAATAGCAAGTCATGAGCATTGCAGTGAACTACAAAACAATAATTACTCAGAAGTCAAACAAGGCCCCCTGAATGTATACCTTATGTTCAAGGAACTTCCCCTCAACACTTACTTTGGATAACCAGGACTTAACCACTTTGCAGCAGTGCCTGAAGTCTTCAAATCTGTGCTAAGGTAAACATGTTTGAATTAAGACTTTGAGGAGGATACAAATTTACCCTACTTATTCAAGTCTGAGGTTAGGAGCTCCCTCTCCCCTGGCCCTCTGAAATCTATTATATTATTGTCCTGCTGATACATTTCATCCTTACATTTAATGGATAGAAAATTGGATTTATTCTTGGAGCATTAAGTTATATAAACACTTGTAAAACTGTTGGTAAGTTATGATAGCTTAGGACATTTTTTATTCATATAAATCCCTCTCATTGGCCTTCCTGATTTCTTGTGACAAAAAATTTCACAGTGTGTGTGCGTACTGTGAAAGTCCATGTTTAAGGTCGACTTCTTAAAGAAATACCTTTTATGGATGCAGATCAGAGACCCTTTTAACTTCACTCTTCCTGCTTCTCACTGCCTCTCCCTAATTTCTTGCCTTGTTTCTACCCTCATTGTCCAGACTATCTAAAATATTCTATCATCTGCCTAGTTCGGTCTAGCCCCAATCGTGGTGCTATATCTGAATCAGGTTGCTTTCTCCTTGTCTACAATGCTTAGGTACCAGTGGAAATAACACTGGAAGTGAAAGGCAGGTAGTCTCTCCAATCTTAGCTCTGGTTAGCCAATTGATATGTGGCTTCTGGTATCCAGAAGTACAAGGACAATCTGATTAAACCAGGGACCGAAGTATGTTCAGAGAGGTTTAGGGGGTGGATTTCTGTGAAAATGAAATCTTGGAGAATATTGTTTCAAGTTTTTCCCGAGCATGCTCAAATGGTGATTTTCGGAGGTGACACGTAAATGGATATTAATAGCAACAGAAATAAGGCAAATCTCTGGCACAACTTGCAGGACAATTTTTAAGCCATTGCTTCAAAGTGGCAGAAGCACTAGAAATTCTCAGTGACACAGTCACAGAGACTTCTGTGTGCAAGCAAAAGCTTTTTTTACTTTGTCCAAGTCTTAGAAAGCTTTTTAGCATTTTCCCTGAAATTTTTAAGACAGCTTATGTTCTGAGGCAGATAACAGGATGGAAAACTTCAGTATAACCAATTAAAGCGCAGCAAAGGTTGGAACAACAGAAAGCCAGCTTTTACAGTAGAAAGCGTTCAGCAAATTTTAACTACAGGCAGTGTTTCCAGCATTGCTGATAGTTTATTATTATGTTGTTAGTGTTACTACAGTTAAGTAATACTTACATGGCACATAGGAGAACATGACAATAATAAGGAAGTAATAGTAGTCAAAGGAGACATTATATTTGTTGGGAAGTCTCAGTGAAAACATTCCTGTTTTCTTCACATAGGGTAAAGCAGCATATATGGTTAGCAGTTCACCTGCAACTCCAGCAGGGTACAAAATGATAAAAAAGTTGTATCTGCATTAAAAAAAAAAACCCTTGTGAGAAATACCCCATGAATTTAAAATTTCCTCTTGCTATTATTAGTGGCACAGCAATGTATTACAGCAGTTCCTGCACCAAAATCAAGGACTACATCCTGACTTGGCACAGAATACCAGTTTCAGTTACTTTGGATAGCATTGCTTAGGTTTACAGAGAATGCATTCCTCAGTCCTTTTATTTAAAAACAGTGAAGTATCAGAATGTTTGTATCTCTTTCTAATACTAAAGAGTAAAACAATAAAAAAAAAAAGTGTGGTCTTCAACAATGTCTTTTTTAAAAATTTACTGATCTTACCCTGTTGTCACTGACAGGATTCAGACCAAGACGGGATCCCAAATTCAGATGATTCTACATATTTTTGTCACAGTGCATGCACACTGGGTCAATTCTACGTATTATAACTTCTTTGAAGATAATGAAAATGTTGAGAAATATAAGAAGCCTGTTTTACCCACTGCTGCATGGGAAATCCAAATAATATTACATTAACCACTAATGGAAATTAAAAATAGCAAAAAATGAGAGTGCCAGAAACTTATCAGATCCATTTTAAAATGGGAAGATGTTCAAATAAAAGGCAAAGGCATTCAGTTTAAAGAAAATGTGGCTTGAATGCCATAGGTCACACAGGTGGTAACAACATGAAAAATGTAATCAATAGGGTTTGTGCTGTCCTTATGCACAGCGCACAATGGAGATAAAGTTTCTCCTAAGGAACAGCTCTCAGGTTCATGCAGGGAACAGCAATGACAGCTGTCACACAGACAGAAAGGTACAGTGTGCACTCCATGACCAAAGGAGATGAGATCCAAACCAACAGTCCTAGGAGCAAATGGGCTTAGAGGACTCACAGGTCAGAGAATAGATTAGGGGAGCTGATGCCATGACAGTTTGTCTCTATGCACCAAAGTAAAAATTCTGAACTAAAATTTAGAGTATATCAATTCCGTTAGCAAAGGACAGGCAAATCTTTCAAAATTATAAGCTAAAGATCAGAAATTTCCAGCTCCCTTGAAGTACTGAATTTATGCCTAGTTGTGCTGTTTGAGTATGCATAAATTTGATAGAATATTTTGGACTCTATGAAAAGATAAGACATTTTCAAATGTTTAGTTTATAGTATATTTCACCATGTATCTCTGCTGTGAGAATGTCAGTTTTCTCTATTGTCTATTGAAAGGAATCAAAAATTCTGTCATTCAAGATACACTTTTTGGCATCAAGTCAGTGTATCTGTCAATGTAGTACTACTTTCTGAATGCATTTCTCTTTCTGAAGCCTACATAAAAAATGATTAATAAAACCAAACTTGATTTTTTTTAAGTTTGCCATTTAGTGTGTAAATATAACCAAGCCTACCACCTTAGGTATTAGCAAAAAGATAATGTATTATAAGAATGGACATAAATATCAGACATATCAAAGAAGTGCATTAGAAGCATCAGAACTGTGTTATCTATAAAACAAAAATAAAGGAAAATAAACAAACACACTCTTTTAAATAAGAGTTGCCAGCACTGAATGTAGGTAAGATATTTTCCTTCTAATGGTGTAAGTCTGTTTGTCTTACATGTATTTTTCAAATAATGACTACAGAGAATACTACTCTCTCAGTTAAGGCTCCTGATAAACATGCAGTCTCTGTAATATATTTGATCCAGTGGCCAACCTTAAGTATGCTTCAAAATCAAAGTAGTTTTGATATGGAACACACTTTTTATATGGGCTAAACTAAGTCAATGTTTAGCTTTGCTATATGAATATAACCTCACAAAAGCACTGATAAAGCAGAACTTCTCATAAAGTAATAATATGCATACAGACTGAGTGACAACAACTCCCACATTTTCAAAGACCTAAAATCCACAAAGACTAGCACAGGTGCTTAATTTGGGGCATTGTATTCAAAAGCATCTTAAGGAGTCATACTGTAACTTAAAAGATGACTCAAATGATAAAGAAAAAAATTAAAGCAGAGTTCAAACTGTGAGATACGGAAAGCAAAGAAAAAAAATCACACCCCAAAACATCAAGTAACGATCCCAAGTACAGAAAGCAACCGACTTGCACTCTGCTGACACATAACCAAAGCTCAAACATCTGCTCGCCTGTGTGTTAGCTCAGCATGCGTGAAACTAACATGCACAGAACCATGAGAAACTGAAGTGCAAGACATCTCCACCTGGCCCATTTAATGAAGTATGGCAAATGGTTGAGCAGGTTGAATGTGTAGAAGGAATATCGAGTAATCTCTGTCACAGTCCATACGACCAGAAAAAGAATTACGCTCTCCTCATTCTGGATCTGCAGAAGTATAAAGAACCAATACTTTCTTCATCCTTAGGCTTCTTTTCTGTGCAAACTGCAACAGACTTCTGTTTAAGATACATGGAACAGAACTAACATCTTGTAAAGAAAGAAAATTTTGGAATAAAAGTAATATGCTGAAACCATTACCATGTACAGTTCTCTAGCATATGTATTTACTAACATACAGACATTTTGCAAACTGAGCAATCCATTATGCAAATATCAAAATATAGAACCCTGTAATTGAGCTTATTCCTCCCTTTATTCTCTATCTGCATTTTCACTATGTTACCTAACTCTCTCCTTCTTTTTAGTTGTGGTTGACTGACTTATTTTCTTACTTCCCAAAACAGCAAGAAGAAAACAATGCTACAGAAGACATGTTCCTTTCATAATCAGTCGTTACCCATTCTGCATTTCACTACTCTGTCTCCTGGTCTTTCTCTTACTTTTTCTCTTCCTTCTTCCTCAACATGCAATGCACGTCTCCATGAAACTTTAGACAAAAGGAATTGCTTAGTATAATCTACTAACGGGAACTTAGTTGCAGAAGATCAAATTTGGCAGACTTCAGGGAGCTGTATGATAGTTAAGGAGCTGGAACACAGATGGATCACTAAATGAAGAGTAGTTGGTAGATCAAAAGCTTTGGGTAAACTCACTCAACAGTCCTGTTTAAGAGTTAAGTTCTGAGTCATTAAACTGCCTCATCAGTAGGTAGCACATCTATCTGCTGTTTCAAAACATCAGTTCTTTTTCACTCTAAGTGAACAAATAAACAAAAGTCCCCAAATACAGAGAAGGCACATGGGGATCTATTACAAACACTACCTTCTGAGAAGAAGAATTACACGCAAGTAATTTTCTTTTCTTTAAAAGGGGAGGAATTTTGTAATACACTTCCATGCCTGAAGGCTGAAAAGCTCCAGGGATGTCTGTGAAATAAAATAAATTTTTTTTGTTAAAATTACAAAAAAGGGAAACGATTTTTTTAAATAAAATGCAACATGGCGGCAAAGCTTAATATACGTCAAAGATGCTGAAAATGCACAACTGTGTCAAAGTCAAGAATTGTAAGTGCTCATCACCTCATAAAATCGCGCCCTCAATGTGTCAGTTAAAGAAGGTGCACTTTTAGTGAAAGGATCTCACTGACATCACAAAAGGAGATATAAAAATATCGCCACACTCACAAATAGCAACAACTGAAGTGCAAAGACATCCAAACAAATAAGCAAAGGGAAAGACAGAATTAGGCTGTTCTTAGCCTCATGCAATTAGAGGCAAACATTGATAACCCAAACTTGGATTCATGTCACAGTGCTAAATCCAAGCAGAAGAGCTTTAAATAAGTATGCAGAGAATTCCTATCTGTTGCCTTGCAAATCTGCAGTCAAATAGAGAGATCTGGGTCTGGCTATTATCACTAACATGCCTCTCACCACCTAAAATGACCCTGAACATTCATGCCTGCTAAGCAATAACAGCGTGAAATACAATCAGACATACATTAAGATGTATTTTTTCTCGGACACAGCTTGACCTACTGTGCTGAAGACAGAGGAAACAAAAGAAATGACTGGATATGCTAAAGATTTAATCCACTGCAGATAATAATAATATGGCAAAATGCAGTGCAAAATTCCAGCAGTCATGTAAACTTTCAATATAAAATACTTGTTAATCTTTGAGACATTTTCCCTTAAGGGAAAAATGGAAACATGTAGCTTACAGGAAAAAAAAAAAAAAAAAAAAAAAAAGCTACAAAAAGCCTATTCCATGTTAAGAAAAGCGACAGTAAAGGAAAATATGAAGTGTAGAAAACAAGTCCTCTGTGAACTGAAACAAAGGGATTTGACAACTGAGGCAGGTGCTGTGATATCCCATGAGCAGAAAGGCATATGCCATCTGCTGGTGAGACAGTTTAATGGCTCAGCTTTTTAAGTTCGAAGAAATTCTGGAGCACAGGCTCAATATCTATCACTTAATACTCCCATGCCTTTCATAGAAAGCGGACCTCAAAAACTGAACTGAATGTCCTATCTACTAACTGTAAGCAGTCTTGTTTCATTCTGCTAACGAATCACTAGACTTACAATAACCACCTACAGCCAGGCAAATAAACTATCATCATTTATACAGGACTTTAAGTGTCACTGTGGCATGCTGGATGACTTGATATATTTTTAATGAAAACAATGCAGTATGCATGCCACCAAATGTTAATATTACCATAACATTAAAATCTTGAGGAGGTTCCTAAAATAAATTGCAAAATCACAGCCATGTTTATCCAGGTAAATTCAATTTAAGACATATATTCATTTAGATAAATTCAGTATGTGCCAATATAAGTTTTTGAAAGGGAACCAGTAACACTGTGGTAGATTTTCTGGTAAATAATAGCAGTAGTCATCAATCTCACTCAGGCAGACCACAGCTGCCAAGATACCAAAGACAGTGCTGATTCACAACTAAGACCCAGACCCAGTCTCCTGGGTAGAAGCACATAAATTCCATCCTGTAACTCCAACTTCCAAAATCGTGCTCAAGTATATAAGTATTCTCTGAAGGAATGCCATTAATTTTTAAATTGTTCTCCCTTGTTAAATGAGAATTGTATTAATGGCTTCTCCCTAAAAACAATCAAAACACAACTTGCTCACGCACATACCTGTTTTATGCTATGTGCAATGAACCACACCATGAAGATTCTTGAACTCACTTGGACCCCAGTCACAAGCACGGATGTGCGAACTATTCCTTAAAAAGAGAAACATGTTATCTCTGTTCCACAATTCATGTTTTAATTAGTTACAGGAGAAACTAAAACAAAGAACTCACCAACTGCACAGTGGACTACCTGTAAATAAAAATAAGTTAGAGGTTACTGATGTACAGTATGTTACTATCTACACTATAAATATCGCCTTTTGATATTAATATAAACCTAGGCTTAATTCTGAAGGAGAACTGAGTTTTTTTGTCTCCAACTAACAGTCTTTAAAAGAAATACATGTCAGAGCCCTGGCAACCAATGCTGTGATGTGCTCAGATCTGTGCAAACACATGAAATATAGATTTATTTTCCTAATTAATATGTATATATCACATATTTAGATACTTACGAAGCATTTATTTTTTCAATAAGTAAGCTTCCCTTCCATTATCTCATTCAAAGAAAAATTTTACAGGACAGTGTGGAGGGAGTCATATAAGGGATGATAAACACATAGCAATTTTAAAATGTTCTGTATTCATTATGGATTAATAACATTATTATAATTTGACAATGACAGCTATGAAGCTTCAGATCTATTGTGTTTTCTGGTCAGTAATATTTAGCAAATAGAGTGATTTCCATTATTTTGACAGATTTGTGTAAAATGACGTGTTGTGAAAGTTTAATAGCATAAAAGCCTATATACAGCTGGCCACATGATTTTAATAGTTGCTTGAACTACAGATGTTGTAGGCAGATTGAGAAAAAAAGTTAAAATGTAGATAGGCACTCTTTGTTGTGCCTGGGGAAGAACTGTAAGTGTTCAATACACCAAACAGTTTCATTCCATTGATGTACCATAAACTGAGACTGCTAGTGCATAGTTGGCAAAAGTCATATTATTTTAAGAATACTTTGCACAAGTTGCACAGACCCTGTTGTAATGGATTATGTGCGGCACAGGAATCCAGTCTGGAAATATGCAGAAGCGGGAAAGGCACAGAAGGACAATGAGCCCAGTATAAGGAGTAAGAGGGAAGCTATCATCTCTGGAGATGGAGATGAGCTATCTATGCTAGAGGGTTGACCTCCTGGCTGGAATGCCTTCAGAGATTTTGCCTTTTGAGTTAAAGACTCTCAAATCAAAGCAGTTCACAGGCAGTATCTGATTTAAAGAAATATTAGAATTAAGTTTGAAAAACTGTGCTCGTTTTATTCAATGAAACACCTTGCCCCCCAAAAAACCTTCATTAAATAATAAAGTTAAAAGGACTTTAAGTACTAATACAATATTTTGATATTAAATTCAGGTTAATAATGTGTTTTGCCTATGATATGCAGCATCCAGTAAAGTAAACTAATGTTTAAAATTTACCTCAAGCAAAGCAAATGTCTGGAAAAATTTAAGCGTCTTTTGAACGCTTCTGAATAAGCCTCTATGTGTTCCTTTCTGTATATAAAACCGCACCATGGCAATACCTAATACCAGCCACCTACAAAAGAAAGAGAATTGATACATTTCAAATTAGAATTCTAAAAATATCCATCCACCTTAAATAATTTAGTAGAATGTTTTCTTTACAGAATATCTTTGCTTCTTCACTTGTCAGTGTTCTTAGGAGATTATTAAAAATATCTTTAGACATAAATATTAGAGATAATTATGTAAACATTACACTCTTTTATCTCTTTACTTGGAAAAGGATAGAGGATGACTTGTTTACCTTCAGAGGACTGACTTGAATTGAGGGGACCCCCCAAAACCACGAGTCCATCAGACTTTTCACTAACAGTGACTACATAGTTTTATTATTAAATCCTTATGCATCTTTACTGTGAATTACTGTTATTTGCAAACATGTGATGAACTCAGCACTGAAGCCACCATTTTGGGTCACAGGTTTGTATAAGTAAAGGACCAGAACCCATGCACATCATTTTTACATTTTCCATGGCCCCAGAACTCATAATTATCAGAAATGACTAGTGATCTGAATGCTTCTGTTTGTGATTGTCCAACTGAAGTTATCATTACAATTAAATTTTCAAAAGCATTGAGAAGTTTTCTTTGAAAATCAGTCTCCAAAGTGCTGAAAGATAGGTGCTCTATGCTCTTGGCTTCCAGAGGCAGGTATATTTAACTAGCACATTTGATGGTGTTTTGGCTGATTTTTTAGTATTTTTTTAAGGAAACTAAACAATGATACTGATAACCCTCCTGACATAAAAGAAAGAAAGTAATCTTTTAATCAAACTGGAATCTGATATAAAACTTAAATTGAAATCTCAAGTGGAAACTGAGACTAAAAAAAATAAACTCTCAAACTGTGGTGAGTTGATCCCCACCACCCAGCCCAGACCCAGCACAATAACCCAAGGCATGTGCGATTCCTTCCACACAATTAATCCATGTTTGGACAATTAGATTTAAAAAATAGTGTACTATGTTTTCCATCCTTAATGCAGAGCTATACCGCATTCCTACAAACATCATGCTACTGTGATGCCTTGAAACTTCAGGTTTCAATCCACAAAGACTAAGAAAGTACAAAAATTCTTTAATATCGACATATGGGCATAACCAGAGCTACGGATGGCTATTTTGAGAATTAAAAATAAAAATACAAACAACAGCTTAACTTCTTGTCTGATGATATTGGGAACAATTACTCAGTTCTTTCATTCTACATAAAGCCATAGTAAGCATGCTGTACAGTGACATGAGCTCTGGCTAAGGAAGGACCCAAGTGACAAAGCAGAGAGGTCTGAGAAATACTCAAGAGGCAGATTCAGACAGCACACAAACATTTGGAAAAATATTTATACAAACATTTGGATAAATATTTAACACATCTCCTGTTCTAATACTCTTCCCTAAGCATAAGGTATTGACTAACATTGGAAACAGGGTACCAAGAAATACTTAGACTCGTTATGCTGTAACGGCACGAGAGTCGCATGGATCATGACAGCTCTCTGTTCACCTCAGATGGCATCTGCTTCGGTATCAGCCCCTTAACAACTCTTACACAAGGTGGCATGGCCCATTCCAGCACTTCATGATGGCATTTCAAACTCACATAGAGTTAGTCAGGCTTCCCCACACAGTAGAAATGGTTCCCCTTCTTGATCCCTTCTACTTTAAGCCCATGAATCTGATCTGCCAGAGATCCAAAATTTGCGCCTGCAAGTGTTACTTAGATTTTATAACGTATTTTAAATCTGAGTGCATTAATTTGAGGTTGTCTCCCACCACTGTGGAAATGAGGAATTACTGGAATATCACTGGTAGTCCTTCACAATAAAGCTGCCCTGTTTTATGGGAAGTGTTTGACAAGAGGAAGGTGACAGTGAGTTTACGTCCAGCTGGCAGCACAAATGGTGACAGCAACAGCTCTGTCCTAGCCCTAGCCTGAGAAATCATAACCCATCTAATCTAACAAGGCATTTTCTGCACCTCATTCCGTAACAAGGATTGCAGAGAGAAGTAATCTCAGACTACACTCAGAAGCAAAGACTGCAAATACTTTTCGTAAATAAATTTTTATTTGGACATGAATTTCTGTAGATTGATTTATTCAGTTGTCAGTGGCTTTGACTTCAGATCTCAGGAAAGCCCTTGTACTGAGTATTGCAAATCACTAGGAAATGGAAAACACTTTCCATAATAAAGGTAGCATTTCCAGTTGGGACTTCCAGTAAGATTGGGTACTGATCTGTCATTTTAACCCCTTAAACCTCTGTTAGAAAGAAAGATAATCTGCAATTTTTTATTAGAATGGTTGTTAATCTGCAATTATGTATTAGTTTGTTAAAACTCTAGAAACACTTTGCTATATTGCACTGCCTGGACAAATGGACAAATATACTTTTCCTGTTACTTATTTATCCTGTGTAGTGCCCTTGTTAAGTACTGCTCTATTTCAAATGTTTATTGTTCTTTTAAATTGTATCTGTAAAAGATTACAATAATTTGTTCCTATCTCTTATTTCTGTTTCCACATAAAAGATGCAATTCTGCATGTTTTAATGACTTTATATATTAATGGGAGATGGGAGAGAAGGAAGTGGGAGGTACTGAATCAGGGCCTAAGGTCAAAACTCATATGGTTTGATAATCTTCTACAGACATATAAAAGTCAGTGCAAAGAGTCAGTGTTCATTAGCAAATTCACACATGGAGCACGAGGCTGGCAATCCAGTGAGGTAACATTAACCTGCCAGCTAGACAAAAAATTACATCGAGTAAAAGCACTTTTCAAAAGGTGCTGCTCCAATATGTGAACTGACTTGAATACATGTTCAAGAATCACAGTTGCTAGTGAGAAGTAAGCCGTTACGATCATATTCCTGGCTTTCTGCATCAGTGCTTGAACTCCAGCTTCAAGTATAGCGTATCAGTTTTGCTCTATGGGATTCAAATGGCAGAGAGTTCACCCACTGGTAACCAAGGTAAAATTGTTCTCATATGAATGTCAGCCTAGAATTTATAAAATTGTTCATTCTTAGGGTTGTTTTTTTTTAAGCATGTGGAAATTAATAGGGTTGGGTTTTTTTCCCCAAGAGTTAGTGAACAAGACAAATTTTCAAGAAGTGAAAATACGTGCCTCAAGCAGTAACAACATGAACCTGAGTGCTCCTATGATCTGTTATTCAAAATAAATACCCACTTTCCTCAAAGCAAAGCATCGCAGTACGGAGCACTAGCTCGAACGAGCCCCTTGGGT